CTGGGAGATATAGAGAATTCCTGAGAGGAAAACATTGTTCAGGACTTACTAACGCAGGTCAGGAAATGAGAGAAATGTAGTAGAATTCGTTCTCATTCAAACATTAGAAAGAGCGAATTGAGGAAGTGGGTGGGGGAAGCTTGGTCTTAATAAACGGGAAGGAGAGCAAAGTGAGGTTATTGTATTTGAGTAGACACTCACGCTCCTACTTTGGTTCGGAGGCAGCGTAACCATGTCAGATTTCTGGTGAAACCTGTTGCCCAAACTCACTCGTAAGCACTATCGAAACTGAAAGGCCTGATGGCTCTTTACACTCACTCTTTCTGTTTGGGGGTTGGTCTTGTCTCTCTTTAAAATGTAAAATACTAGTACCTCCCTGTCTGTGACAAGCACTTTCAAAGTCTCATTTTTTAATGACTGGATTTAATAATTTCTTCACAGGTTCCTCTCCCCACCAACCCCATCCTGATGGCTCACGGCAATATCTCTGTGAGTACGTCTGTTTCCTCTTGGTCAGTCAGAGGTGAGGGAGGAGGTAATACTTTGTCATTAAAAATCCCTCCTGAAGGGTGGTGTCCTCTATTACTTTGAATTTGTAAAGGACCAATTTAGTGTAACTTCCAGGTCATCCTTTTTGGTTGGGCTGGCCTGGCATTCTTAGTTTTCTAGTGCTTATTCATGTTTCGTGTCCAAAGCCCTCTGAAGATTCTGTTCATCTAAATGAACTTTGAAATTAAAGGTGTGGGAGGGAAAGTTAACACCAATCAGATACAGGAGAGAGAGGGAGAGTCATGTGCAGTGCAACTACCAACAGTCTCCAGTTCCTTAGAATGTGATTTGCATGTCTCATTCCTCCCAACAGCCCTGAGTCAGGGCATCTTCCTTTTACAGACAGGAAACTGGCCTGACATAGAGCTACAGGTGACGTAGTTGGTAAGTGGCAGAGCTGGATCATGAGCCCAGAGCTCACTAACACTGGGTCCATGCACGTCTTGCCACTTCAGTACACTGTCTCGTGAGAGAGGATCCTGGATTTTAGGAAATTAGAGACTCAGTAGAAACCAGTCAAGACTGTCACTAATGCCTGTGTCCTTCCTTTGTAGCCTTCAGCTTACGTGTTGGAAATTTTTAAAGGAATCAAGTCAAGGTGCGTCTCAGTGCACAGTTACTATCACTGGTCAGCTAACATTTGAGTGTGTATCTAAACATGAGATGAGGAGAAATTATAATTGATCCAGCACCCTTATAGGGTTAACTGTGTCAAAATTTTGAGGGAAAATAATTTATTATAGTGTTCTTTTTGAAGTAGAGGTAAGAGGCTCTACTTTTAAGGAGAAATGAAGGGTAGTATTACTTTATATTGTAGGTAATGAAATTATATCAAGCATGTCAAACTCGCAGGCCGCATGCTTCGTTTATTTGGCTGTGTTAGCCTTTGAGTTTGACATGCTTGATCTCTGTAATTCAGTCATAGCAGCAGCTAACATTCTTTGTAGTGTGCTGCTTTGACTTGTTTCCCGTGCACGTACACAGTTAGAACCATCTTGCATACAGTTTTGTGTCTTTTGTCGTATATTTTTGGAATAATGTTTCTTATTTGTGATTTTCCTTTTGATTTTACTTGAGAGCTTCAGCGGCCAGTTCTAAATGTCTCTTAAAAGTAGTAAACAGGATCCTTCACTAGAGACATGTAACGGGAGCTTAGATCCATGGAGGTGCAGTGCGTTCCTAGGAGGGAAGAGTCTGTTTTAAAGGTTTTTCTTTAACTTACAGTTTTGTGATTCCATTTGAAATCCTCTTGGAATTGCTGAAATGATGCTAGAATTAGTTCAAGAAAAGTTAAACAATTGAAACCAGAGCAACAAGGGGGAGCTATTCCCCTAGGTTTAAAAATGTACAAACAAAAACCTGTTAATTGGCAACATTTAAATCGTATAAGGTTGTTGTCAGAATCAATTGATCATCAAAACAGACTCAGAAGGCCTCAAACAGACTATTATAAGGACTCAATAAAGATGGAATAGTCAACAGTAGGCTTTGGAGAAATTGGTTTCTAGAAGAATAAAAAGTTAGAGTCTCCTGCTGTGCCAAGGACCAAAATGCATCCAATAGATTAAAGTATTAAATATAAAAACAAAACATTGAAAAGAGAACCATCTGGAATATTGCATTTCACTCTGAATGGGTGAGGTCTGGTCAGTAAAAGCAGTAGGAAAAACAGCCGCGGGGCTGTAAGACGGCTGCGCTGACTGACGCTTTCTCCTCAGTGAGCTGGAGGAGTCGCTGCTGGTGCTGCCCTTCTCCTACGTCCCGGACATCCTGAGGCTCTTCAATGAGTTCATCCAGCGGGGCTCCGACGTGGAGCTTCTGTGCCGGTGCCTCTTCTTCCTCCTCAGGTAAGGCCTTTTCCAGGACAGACCCTGTCGTCTCAGCACAGCTGCTCCGGTGGAACCTTCACTGGAGCCGTCACCACTTGGGGATGAAGAAACTGATGTTTCGGTTTCAGGGGCTGTCACAGACGTCAGTGCGGCCTGGCGTGAATTACTCCTTGTCCTTGAGAACAGTCAGCATCAGTTTTGCCCTTAAAACAAGTACTATGAGGTTAACAGTGCTCAGGAATGCTTCGTCAGGCGCCAGTCTCCAGGCTGCAGTCCAACAGCCTGGGTCTGAGCAGTTTGCCTCATTTGTAAGTTTAAGTTATGGTTTTGCCTTGTCCTCCTAACAGCCTTTTCAGGAATAGTGGATTATTTTCCAGGTCTGTAGAGGTACAGATGCAATAGGAGGGCATATATAAAAGAAATAAATCGGAAAATATGTTCATTAGATTATATTCTCAAATATGAAGAATTCTTATATGTAATTGAGAGGACTATTTACAAAGGCTTAAGAATGTATTACTCTATATCTCCCACTCTCTGCCCCTCTGTTTCAAGCTGATAGAATAGAGAGCATGAAGAGACAAATTGGACATTTCTTAAAATGCTGTTAGGAGGACAAAAACTGGTCAGCCAATACCAAGTAGTTCAAAGAAACAGGTATGTTTAGTGAAGTTGGTGAATTGGTCTGTTTTCATGGTTCTTAGCCCTCCTCCATCCTTTTTCTATTTGGATGTTAGTGAAAGAAGAACAATATATTTACATTGTTCTGTTGCCATATTTAGAATTTGGGGCAAATTGTAAGGACTTAACAGTATTACTAATAATTTCTTGTTGCTGTGGCATATGAGCTGTTGAATCAGGATCACTCTTCCTAAAAGAAACACCCTGAATGCCAGCATATCCGAGGGTTGTAGGTGGGTGCCAGTTACCTCACAGGTAGAGATGGCAGGTCCCAGTCGAAGGCAAGGGTGAGTGGGGGTGAAGGAGCCTGTGCTCATCAAGGTGTCTGGGTCCTCCAGGTCTGAGTTTGAACCTGTGATAGGGTCTGGCACAGTGTCTTTAAGCTGTTATCAGATAGAACTGAATAGTGGGGAAGAAAGTCCTTTCCCCTTTTTACTAGAAATGTCTCTATTCCCATGATGCCGTAACAAGTGTTTTTGCTTTGCTATTGTGTCTGTTTGCTATTTGTGGAAGGGGTAAGTAGAGCCAGCCCACTACCTCTCTTCAAAATATGGCTGTTTTCTTTTTCTGTTAGGATTCACTTTGGGCAGATCACTAGCAACCAAATGCTTGTGCCAGTGATCGAAAAATTAAAGGAAACAACTATTTCGAAAGTCAGCCAAGTCCGGGTAAGTATGTTGTAGAGCTACACCAGTGAGGGGGAGACCCTAGTGCAAGGGTCCTCAAACTTTTTAAACAGGGGGCCAGTTCACTGTCCCTCAGACCATTGAAGGGCCGGACTATAGTTTAAAAAAAACTGAACAAATTCCTATGCACACTGCACATACCTTATTTTGAAGTAAAAAGAAACAAAACGGGAACAAATACAATATTTGTATTTGCATGTGGCCCGCGGGCCGTAGTCTGAGGACCCCTGCCCTAGTGTGTGACTTAGGAGGAGCCCGGGCGCTGTGCCTGTCTTGGGTGTATTGGCCAGACGTGACCTGTATTTGAGGGTAGCTTGGCGGTGGAGCTGGTGGGAATAGGAACACAGGGCCTGAGGCTTACTGGCCCGACTCACATAAGCTGATTCTTAAGGCACTGAGCTCACACGAGACAAGTTCACCTTTCTGTCTTCTGCCTCAGGATGTTATCGGCTTCAACCTGGCGGGTCTTAACTATCTCAAGAGGGAGTGCGAGGCAAAAAGTGAAGTTATGTTTTTCGCTGATGCAACCAGCCACTTGGAAGAGAAGAAGAGGAAGAGGAAAAAGAGGGAGAAGCTGATTTTAACACTGACCTAGAACTGAAATGTGGTGATTTTCTACTTTTAAAAAGGACTTCTGAACTAAGCAGCATTAGAGGCCAAGTCAGCTCACAAGGAGCCGAGTAAGAGCTTACCGTGCTGCCGAGGATCCCAGGATGTGGCCCTGCTTTGCCTGTGGGCTCCATTGCTTGGACTTGACCGATGAGTCGTTCAAAATCTTTTCTGTGCCTCGGAGGTTGGGCCTTTCAGAAGTTGGTCCCCTTATAATCTAGCAGAAGGCAAAGACATTTTTTAACTAGGTGTGTGTTTCCCTAGAGTTAACATTTCAAGAGTATCTTATTTCTGCCCTGGCAGATTTGTGACCCTGCGTTCTCCGGCTGAGACAGGTGCACAGTTGAATGTCCTCTGCCCACAAATGCAGGGTCATGGAGAGCTGAAAGGACCATGGAAATGACCTAGAGCGGCCTCCTTAAACTAACTCTTCCAGATTATTTCTGTATATAGAAATATCCTACTTGCGAACTGCTTATCCTTCTCTTAATAAATTAGTTGTTTCTAACTAAAGTGCAGTCAAGCTGAGACTCCTGGCTGGCTTCTGGGTGATTAGTGCCCTGTATGTATAATGTGTCTACATGGCAGGGAGTTGGGACTGTTTTAGGAAAAGAAATTGACAAATGGCCTTTCATCAGAGCTTTGACCTGGTTGAACTCTTGAGTCACAGAAGTAGATTTTACACTTCTTTTTTGGGGAATGGGGATTTCTCATTGCCCTTATTACTGACTGTTGGACTTAACCGTTTGACTGCTAAGGAGTGCTATCGCGCTCTTCTTATTTAAAACAAATTTATGTAAACAATTGGTATTTTTTAATTTTTGTTGTTGCAAAGCAATACAAGTGAGTTTATTGTATAAAAAGTGTTTTACATTTTTTCCCATACATGTGCAATTAGTGCCGCAGTTTTGGCATATGTCCAAAAAAATACGTCAGCAGCCAAACGGTTAAACAGATGCCTTATGGAGCCTGCTTAGGCAGGTGACTACAGGAAGATTGCCAACGGGTGGTGCCGGGTGCCGATGTCACTGGAGGCTGGGATCGGTGTGGGTCATCTTACCTGTTCAACTTTGCATTTTTATTCAAATGTTATCTCCTTGAGAAACACACTGTCATTTACGTGGCACTGTCCTTGCTGTACTCTAATATGTACATGTCTAAATAAGTTGTCATTTACTTGTTTCATCTTTAAAAAAAAAATCAGAGGTTATATTTATATTTATCTTCCCAGGGCTGGAAAGCATGGGAATTGCCCAGTTTTCTAACTTTCTACTAAAGGAATATGTCTAAGTAGAAAGTTCATAACTACTTACAAATATATTGTGTGTATGTATATGTATAGTGTGTAAGAGCTGCATACTTATTTTTATATCAGAATGTTTTATGATGTAATACTAAATTATAGGCAGAGGCCTTCCCCTGCATTTGAAGAGCAGGTTTCCATTTATATGTATTTTGGGGGATAAAAAAATAATGAAATTTATAAAAATAGCGCCATAAAGTTGCTTTGATAATTTAAGATCATTTGCATTTATATGTTTGTACTGATTATCTTCGATCGGCTGCCTCCTGTGCACACCTGACGGGATTGAACCCGAAACCTGAATATGTGCTCTGACCAGGAATCTAACCAGGGACCTTTCGGTGCATGGGATAACACTCAGTCAGCTGAGCCACACAAGCCAGGGCCATATAAATTTTAGAATCAGCTTATAAATACCAAATACCTGCTGGAATTTTGGATTGTATTAGATCTTTTGACCAGTTTGGGAAGAATTGACATCTAAACCATATTGAGTCTTCCAACCCACAGAAGTTTTATCTATTTAGTTCTTTAATTTTCTCAAAATAGTGTTCTGTGATTCTCAGTGTACTGATCTTACACCTGTTTTTTTCTGATAAGAATGAAGTATTAGAATTGGTCAAAGGGAGATATATAAATGACCAAAAGCCCATGAAAAGATGCTTGCCTCAGTCCTCAGGGAAACAAATGAATACTACAGTGAGTTACCCTCTCATCCATTACCATGGCTAGGATAACCTGAAAAGTCCACATGTGCTGAGGGTGTACAGCAACTAGAGGTCTCCTCCTCTTATGGTATGGACAGTGGTACAAGCACTTGGAAAAGCTGAATCACAAACATACCAATCACGAATAGCCCTTCCACTCCCAAGTATTTATACTATATGCTCACAACAATCTGTAATTGAATATCCATTAATAACTTTATTCATAACAGCCAAAACCTGGGAACTACTCAGATGTCTATTAAAAGGTGAATATACACTGAGTGGCCAGATTATTATGACCACCCCATCAGTACTTTATTGACACTTCCAAAATATTGAATATTGGAAAACTTACTAAGCAAATACTTTCAAGGTTTTATTATTATTATTTGCATAATTAATTCACTTCATTGTACTGATGGGGTGGTTGTAGTAATCTGGCCACTCAGTGTATATACAGGCACAACACACCCATACAAAGGAATACTACTCAGCAGTAAGGCATGAACTGTTGATGTAGTGATGGATGTACTAATATGCATGTAGTAAGATGGATGGATTTTAAAATCATGCTATTGAAGAGCCCTCTAACTACAGCCCCTAGTAGAAAGGTAACATACCGAGGACACTATACTTACGTGACAAAGACCAGCTTCGTCAGCGAGGACATCAAAAACGCCCTGGCCGGTTGCTGGGTGGTTCAGAGTGTCGGCCTGTGGATCTTGATTCCTAGTCAAGGGCACGTACCTAGGTTGCAGGTTCCTGGCCCCTGTCCGGGTGTGTGCAGGAGGCACCCAATGGCTGTGTCTCTCACCCCTCCTGTCTCCCACTCTCCCTAAAAATCAGTGGAAAAATACCCTCAGGTGAGGGTTGAAAAGAATAAAAAATCATGCTACATGAGGAAATGCAGACACGAAAGAATGCAGTTCCGTTTATATAAAATTAAAAATGCAAACCCATCTAGAACGAGCGTGCTGACTCCAACACTCTAGGACCTAAACGGGCACTTTGAGGACCCTGAGGAAATGGGGTTCGGGGTGGGGGGGAACAGCGTGGCAGACAGAGTAGGTTGGGCTGCGATGTTCTGTATCCTGGTCCCATCAGTGTTGAGCCATGGTTTGCCCTGTCCCCCATCCCCCACCTCAACTCAAGTCCCACGAAAAGCAGAGGAACCCTGCCATCCTGCGGGAGGATATACCGGCCGCTCTCCTGTCTCTGAGCCACAGTTAGCTGCTGTTTGGGGCATCCAGGGGAAGCTGGGCAGAAAAGCTGCACACCCTCATTTCAAAGGTGAAACTCGGACATTCACTCATAACTGGTTTTCAGATCTGGGGAATCTGGTTCTTTGCCTCAGACCATCCACAGTGGCCCCGTGACCTGCTGCAAAAGTCAGCCCGCTCAAGAGCTTTGCAAAATTCACATGTTGGGGTGCAAGGTTCCTCTGTCTCATTTGCATTTGCTTTGTACCCGCCTCCCCTGTAGTGATGGGGAGCTCATGGAACCCCCACCTTCACTCCTGTTGACCTGGGCTCCGGTCTGAGTAGAAACTTTTTTTTTTTTTACACGAAGGCACAGTAGAAAGCCCCAGGCTTTATACAAGGAGGGCACAGCAGGGAGAGGAGTAAATGCAAAGCTGCCAAGTAGCACAAGCAGTGAATGTTTCCTGGTGGTTCTACAAATGCCAAACCAGCACTTTTATATTTGTGAAGTGCTTTATGCTTTTTAATGATTGTTGACAGCTGTGGTCTGACCTTTAGTGCTTTCTAGCTCAGCTGCTAGGGCAGTGGTTCTCAACCTTGGCTGCACATTAGAATCACCTAGGAATCTTTAAAATCCTGATTTCTGGGCCTCATACTCCGGAAATTCTGTTTGTTATGGGGTGGGGCCACAACATTAGTAACAAAGAAACAGAATTTCCGGAGGATGAGGCCCAGAAATCAGGATTTTAAAGATTCCTAGGTGATTCTAATGTGCAACCAAGGTTGAGAACCACTGCTAGGAAGACAGACTTGTGATTTACATAATGAAAGGAGGACACTGCACATGCGTATGCGTGACGGGACACTGAAGGCTCGTCTGGAAGGGCCACAGATGTCCTCGCTGACAAAGCTGGTCATTGTCGCATCACTAGGGTGTCCTCGGCATGTTACGTGTCCTGGGGGGCTGTGGTTAGATGACTCTGGTGTAGATTTCAGTTCCCTGGCTGAGCCCCTCCCCTGGGTTAGCCTCTAGAAGTCAGAGTGGTGGGAAGCAGCCTTGTTTTCTCGCTAGTGATGGGTACCCTGTACTTTTCACGGAAGCATCTTCACATGAAGGAGATAAAGCAACCACAAGGTTGTTTTTACAATTCAGCAAATTTTCTGGACATGCCAGTCATTTATACTTGATCAGTTGTATTCTAGCAAAGAACACACAACCCAAAATCTGAGACTCAATGAACGGATTCCTGAAAGGGACGTTCGTCACATGACAGGTCTACCTCAAGAAACAAGAAAAGTCTCATATAAACAATCTAACCCTACAACTAAAAGACCCAGAAAAAGAACAAGCCACGAGTAAGAAGGAGGAATGAAATTAGAGCTGAAATAAATGGCAGAAATAAATGACACATTTGCAGATGACATGATATTGTACATAGAAAACCCTAAAGACTCCATCAAAAAACTATTAGACTTAACAAATGAATTTGGCAATGTAGCAGGATACAAAATTAACACCCAGAAATCTGGCTTTTTTATACACCAATAATGAACTTACAGAAAGAGAAGTTAAAAAACCAATCCCATTTACCATTGCAACAAACAAAATTAAGATGCCTAGGAATAAACTTAACTAAGGAGGTAAAAGACCTGTACTCAGAAAACTACAG